AGAATTCCCGCGGAACTCGGGACTTTCTCGTCTTCGGTACTAGCCGATACAAGTCTGGCTAGACATACCGGCGATACGCAACGAGAGGTGAGGTATAGTCCATGGCGCTGTACTTTGTAATTGGCCCTCCGTACTCTACTTCGTATCGTGCTGGGTTGCCAGAAAAAGGGACGGAACTGCGTCCCGCCATTGAAACACGCGAGTTACTCTTCCAGAGTCTTGTGACGGTATAAAATAACGTCACAATCGCTCTACCGTGCGAATTAGGAATTAATAAGTTATGGAGGGGGGCCCCTAGGGCTCTTCCTCTAGCGACGAATTCCGGCTCGTTCACTTACGCTGGAGCATCTTAGTTTGTGGTCACGTACAAAAGTCGCTGCAGTGAACAAAGGAAGCCGAGCGCAAAACGAACTGATACCGAGTAGAGCTGAAATTATATTATTTTGAAGGAAGGAGGGAAGGAAGTCTGAGGACCGATTTCCTCGATTCCGGATCTTATCAGTTCGGTGAGCACCTTTCGTTACCGTTATTTCGGAGATTTTGTAAATTTAATTGAAGTAATCCCGTCTAGGCGCTTTGTCTCGACGGTTAATTTTCTCGCTTACCGGGACGGAATGTCGTTCCAGTCCCTCTAAGTAAAAGGACGATAGTGCCGGATACCGTTATCTTATTTCGTTTTTCTCTTTTCTCGCTTACCGGGACTGAATGTCGTTCCAGTCCCTCTAAGTAAAAGGACGATAGTGCCGGATACCGTTATCTTATTTCGTTTTTCTCTTATTATCGTAGAGTACTTAATCTTGAATATTGTGTAATTAATTGCGTTTTGTGGTAATTTAGTGCTTTGGAATTGTCGAATATTTTATAAGCTACCGATTATCTTCTCGACCACGTGGAAACACCTAGGGCCCCGGCGTCTCCGGCTTGGCCGTTTCCCGTGGAGTCTGTTTAATTGTTCCTAGCGAATATCTTTTGGGCTTTTCTATCTTTTCCGGCGTTATATGTCGCTTT